CCTCCCCACACCAAGTTATACAGATCCTTTCCAACATATTGTCTTGTTAGTATCATGGTTGCATTGGTTCACCCTTTGTCATTTGTCTCACCATTTTTTCCCCCTTCTCTTCCTTAATTCTGATAAATCCATATACAATACCAGGGTACAACAGGAGATAAACCATGGGGTTGGGGGGGGGCGGGGAAGGAAACACACACACATACACATACAGACACACACACACACACACACACACACACACACACACACACACACACTCACACATACACACACACACACGCACAAAGAAAATCACTTAATACATTAAAAACAACACCAATGTAAAACATCTTATGTCCATGTCTTGGACTTTAGTTTGCTTATCATCATCTTATATGGTTATACTATGGTCAATAGCTATTGACTCTTTTGCTCATCTGCTAAGATTACCATAGGCATATAATATTTATGACAAATAAAGAAAACCATAGCACCTATTTTTCTTTGGGTCTGGCTTACAACTTTTAATAAAACCAAGATGCCTCAAATAATGGGAGTCTTCTTAAAACTGAGAAATTCAGTAAAAAAAAATATTAATAGGAAGATTTCTATTCCGTGTTCAGTAATAGAGATGCCATTCTGAGAAACTGATGAAAATACTTTCCTGTATAAGGAAATATACTTTTTAGAATTTATTTTTCAAAAGATTTGATGCCTTATATAAATGAATTTGTAGCAGAAAGCTTTTACATTTGAAGAGTAATTGAATGAAGCGTTGTGTTTGGGTAAAGGATCGTTAGCTAATAGATATAGTCATGCCTCTTCATTTTGTGTGCTTATTCTCAGTGTCTCTTACCTTGCCCTTCAATTTCAGTATTCAGTCATCCTCACACTGTAAAGAAAAAAAGCAAATTCATTTACATATGTAAATCTTTCTAATGACATTTACAAAGTTGTGCAGGCTAGAATATACACAATAGAATAGATTAAATCACTCACTCAATACCAGATGCTGGTGGTTAATGCCTGAAATCTTAGCTACTCAGGAGGCTGATATCTGAGGATCATGGTTCAAGCCAGCCTCGCCAGAAAAGTTCATGAGACACTAATTTCCAATTGACCACCTAGAAAAGGCTGGAAGTGACCCTGTGGTTCAAGTGAAAGTGACTTTCAGTAGGGTAGTTTCTAATTCCATTTGTCAAATCATGAAAACCTTTCTAATTATAAATATATATATATACATATATCATAGGAAAGTATCAAATAAATTTTATAACTAGAATGTGATCATCTACAAATGCCTCAAAATATCTCCAGTTTGAAATCCATGCAAATCATGAAATTCAAAAGGTATTTATTTGAGTAAAAATTGAAAAAGTTATTTATTTGTATTAATATATATATATAAGTATATATAATTTATATCAGTACGCATATAAGGCCTTGATACTGCAATAGAAGTAGAATGTAGAATTTAAATATCCATACCATTGTATTTGAACAATATACAAGTATGTGAACATAATTGCATAATCCCATAAGTTACCACATTGAAAAATCAATGTTAGTTTGACAATGTTGTTGTATTTATAATAAGAATAAAACAAAAAAAAATTTCTGGAAACCATCATTGTCTTAAATAGTTGCACTGAGTTTAATATATCCACTAGCATGAGTCTGTGGACAAATACATTGTAATATAATATGTATATCATGTACAAAAAAAAATAATGAATGCTTACAGTGTACTGATGTCAATTAATCTGGTACAACTCCAAACACTCTAGACACTATTGAGAACCTGAATCAACCTACTACCAAAGTGTAATAAGACAGAATACTCACCAAAAACAAGCAAAGAAAATTATTCTCATCTATGGAAAGTAAGAAATAATAAAACCTTAGGATTTATTCTGCACCTGTCCCCTAAGGCTTACTAAATTTGCCCAGGGTGAATAGATTATCCTCTGGGCAAAACTCATGTCAAAATAAAACCGAGACCTGCATATTGTCAACAATTGCTCAAATAGTAATATAGATTCCCAAGAAATGTGAGAAATGAAGGTGATATTACTCCTCCAAAAGTTTGTAACGACCAATATGTGAATTAAAAGAGTCTCAGATGGTTCAAATGCCAGATATAAGATTCACGAGTCCATTTTAAATATGATCAATTGCCTTAAAGTGAATTGAAACAAACATGGATTAATCGTCTACTAAACCTAAATTCTAAGCTAACTTCAGGTATTTTGACTGTTACAATTTTTCCTATTTCATTATATGCCTATAATTTTCCTCCAATAACAAATTGGTCCTCTGAAAAACCAGCAATCTCTTCTCATCTTCACAGATGGCTTCAGATTGAGGTAATTTCAGTTCACTAGACGGATTCTTTCATTCTTAGCCTTAACCTGAGTTGAATTCTTAAGAACACCATGCACCTCTTCTGAGGATACATCTTATCTGGGTCTGTATGCGTCTTTACTGTTTCATATATACATACTTATATATGTATATATATATGAAGATTTTTCTAAACAGTTTAAAGAAACTGTACCTTGGAGGCTGAGATTACTTATTGTGTGTCTCCACCTAAAATTGCTTGCTCCAATCAATACATCTTTGTCTTACTATAGTTATGCAAACAACATACATGGCTACTCTCAACGAGAGATCTACAATACACCACTTTTCTGCTATTTCACTTCTGAACTTTCAGATGAGAGAGAAACCATTTTCCTCATTGCTTTTCCACATTTTAAAATTAAAAGTAAAAGATTTTTTGGTTTGGGTATTTTTTTTTACTTTTGTCTCTTTCGTTTTTGTGTAATTTTGTGCCAAATTTAATTCATTGAAACTTGGATAACATTCTGTATATTTGAGTAGCATCATAGTCACAGAAAGTAAAACATTAATTGGTATATAGTAGTTATTCCATTAACCATTATTGGATGAAGAAATATATTTTTGAAGAGTACTCCAACTATTGAATGTTTTCACACATTTGTGGTATCCAGATCTAACAAGATAATGATGATGATGATGATGATGATGATGATGATGATGATGATGAAATCACAATTTTTCAACTAAGACATCAGTGTAAAAGGGGGCTCCTCTGGGGTATCACTGAAAATAGGGAATGAAAAGGTAGAGAAGAATGAAGAAGCTTGAAATATATCACATTCATATGTGTGGAGATAAAATAATCAAACCCACCAAATATTGTTTGGAAAATGGAGGAGGAGGGAGAGGAATATAGGGGTATATTGGGAATGGTGAAATTGCCCAGAGCAGATTTTGTTCTTCTATCAAAAATATTACAATGAAACCATATTATATTATACATGTATGATAATTCAAAATTGATTTTTTTTATTGTTATTGTTGCCAGACCTGAGGCTTGAACTTATGATCTGGGTGGAATCTTTAAGCTTTTGTACACAAGGCTAGTGTTCTCCACTTAGAGCTGTTTTTGACACTTGATTGGGGTTCAGAATCTTAGATTACCTACCCAGGCTGACTTCAAACAGAAATCCTAAGATATCAGCCTCTTGTGTAGATGGGGTTATAGGCATAAGTCACTGGCACCCAGGAAAATTGATTTTTAATGAATATTTTATAATTATAAACTGCTGTTTATTCACTGATATTGTCAGCTTTTATCATTGTGGAGGGATGGTAATAATTGAGGTTGTTAAAATACTAAAATCAAGAGTCCACATTTGGTTGAATTTTTAATATATATAATTATTTATCTCTGAGATGGTCTTAACTACTGGTATCTCCGAATATTTTAAGTGTACTAAATAAATATTCTAATTGAATCACTAATAATGTTAACAATATTGATTAAATATATTCAGGTTCATGAGATGGTACTTACATAACATTTACAAGCAGAATTCTTTTACCTCACAGATTACATATTTATAGAAACATACCTCTCTGTATATATATATATATATATATATATATATATGTATAATATATAAATACATTTAGATCAATATATAGATATGTACATACATATGAAATAATGGTTAAATTTTTAAGCAGGATCCAAAGCTATAACATCAGGAAAATCAGAATTGTATCAAGTCATGAGTAAATGGAAATCAGTATGTTTATCTGCATAGTGACAGGAAATAAAGACTTTATCATTTGCTATTAAATTTGGATCTGTATTACAACCTAAAATCAGAAGTTATAAAAGGCTGGCACATCACCAAAATGAGATACACAGCTTTGTATTCTTTCCTGGAAATCTAAAGATTATTCAGGGTCAAAAGATAGAAAAAATGCAGACAGATCTGAGTCTCAAGTCTACATCACACAAGGGAATAAATTATAAATCACATTACCTAAAAGGTACAAGAAATTCAAAACCATTTGCATAACAGAATGTTTCAAAATTTCCAGTGTCTAATAAGTAAAACTGTAAATTAAGAAAACTTGGAAAAACATAAAATTTATTCAAAATATTGTTTAAATGGTGATGTGAAATCAGTTTAATTCAGAAATAAATACAAATATGTATGTTGTCACAACAATTAACAACAGTTAATGATGTTTAAAGTCACTGAAATAAGTGTTATAAAACTATTAGAAGTAAAATGCAACTCGTGTGTGTATGTGTGTGTGTGTCTCTGTGAGTGTATACCTGTCTTAGGGCTAGAACTCAGGATCGGGGCACCAACCCTGAGCTTTTTTTGTTCAAGGCTAGTACTCTATCACTTGGGCCAGAGGTCTATTTTCAGCTTTTGGTGGTGAATTAAAGAGTCTCATGGACTTTTCTGCCCCGGTTGGTTTCAAACCATGATTCTTACTGTAACACAAGCAGCTGAGAGTACAGGCTTGAGCCACAGGTGCCCAGCTCATTTGTTAAATTGAAAAAAGAATATATTTGATCCAGTAATAAAAGTATACATATATGGGCGCCTGTAATCCTCACTCTTCAGGAGGCTGAGATCTCAGGATGGGATTTAAAGACAGACCCGGGCAGGAAAGTCTGTGAGACTCTCATCTCCAATAAACCACCAGAAAACCAGAGGTGGCTCTGTGTCTCAAGTGGTAGAGCTCTCGCCTTGAGCTGAAGAGATCAGGTACAGAGCTCAGGTACAGTGGCCAGGCTCTGAGTTCAAGCCCCATGACTGACCAAAAGAAAAAAAAAAGAAAAGAATACATATACTTGAATGAGTCCAAAATATATAACATATGTAATTTAATCATTTACCTTAAATGTTAACTTTTTTTGGCGGGGGGTCTGGTCGTGTGGCCTGACCTCTGGGCCTGGGCGCTTCCCTCAGCTCTTCAGCTCAAGGCTAGCACTCTACCACTTGAACCACAATACCACTTCCGGCTTTTTTCTTTTTGCTTATGTGGTGCTGAGGAATTGAACCCAGGGCCTCATGCATGCAAGGCAAGTGCTCTACCACTGAGCCACCTTCCCAGCCCCATTAACTATTTTTATATGAATATTTTTCCTTTCCTTGCTAGCCAGAACCTTCCAACCCACCATGAACAGTCCATCTTCCCCTTTTTTTTTTTTTTAATTTAATTTTATTTTATTTGAGAACATACTGTACAGAGGGGTTACAATTACCTGGGCAGGATAATGCATACATTTCTTAACAAGCATTGCAGCCTCCTCCTTTGTTTACCCATCACCTCCCTTCCCAGTCTCCCCCCTCCCCCACAACCAATCCTTCCCCCCCCCCACACCCACATTGTAAAGCTCGTTTTTGACATGACATTTTGTACTTCTCATTGTTGCAACAGGTCCACCTGAATCCTTAAACGACTTGTTTGTCCCCATCTCCTCCACAAGTTATACTGACATAAAATATAGTGAAAGCAGGGGTTACACTGTGGGGGAGGGACATACAAAGCAACAAAGAAATAATCTTGTAAATGCGTTAGAAACGCATGCATGAAAGAAAAAAAAACATTAAAATACATATTTAAGGGTTCGTTTTCCTAACATCAAATTATCTGACCTTTTCCACTTGACTCATACCTATACTAGATATTGCAAATAAGGGAAACCATGGGACCTATATTTCTTTGGGCCTGGCGTACTTCACTTAATATAATTTTTTCCAAGCCTTTCCATTTCCTAACAAATGGGGCAATGTCATTCTTTCTGATGGAGGCATAGAATTCCATTGTGTATATATACCACATTTTCTTGATCCATTCATCTACTGAGGGTCATCTGGGTTGGTTCCATATCTTAGCTATAGTAAATAATGCTGCAATAAACATAGTTGTGCTGGTAGCTTTAGTGTGGTCTTGTTTGTAAACATTTGGGTAAATGCCCAAAGTGGGATTGCTGGGTCATAGGGGAGTTCTATGTGAAGTCTTTTGAGGAACCTCCATACTGCTTGCCAAAGTGGTTGAACAAGTTTACATTCCCACCAACAATGAAGTAAGGTTCCTTTCTGTCCACATCCTCTCCAGCATCTGTTGTTGTTAGAGTTCCTGATTTTTGCTGTTCTAACTGGGGTGAGGTGATATCTCAATGTTGTTTTGATTTGCATTTCTTTTATGGCTAGGGATGTTGAACATTTCTTCATGTGTCTATTGGCCATCCTTCTTTCTTCTTCAGAGAAGTTTCTCTTTTAAGTCTTTCGCCCACTTATTTATTGGGCAGTTGTTTCTTTGAGGATTTGTTGTTGGGGGGGTTGATTTTTTGAGTTCCAAGTATATTTTAGATATGAGACCCTTGTCCGTTGTATGGCTAGTAAAGATCTTCTCCCAATCCGTGGGCTTTCTATTGATCTTGCTAGCTATGTCATTTGCCCTGCAGAAGCTCTGCAACTTTATGCAATCCCATTTGTCCAACCTTTCTTTGATTTGCTGTGTTTCCGGGTCTCTATTTAGAAAATTTCGGCCTGAGCCAAGGAGACCTAGGGTTTCTCCTATTCCATCCTGTAATGTTTTCAGATTGTCTGCTTTGTCGTCGAGGTCTTTGATCCATTTGGAGTTGATTCTGGTGCAGGGTGATATATAAGGATCTAGCTTCAGTTTTCTACAAGTAGTTAACCAATTTTGCCAGCACCATTTACTGAAGAGGCTGTCTTTGTTCCATTCTATTGTTTTAGCTCCCTTATCGAAGATTAGATGGCTATAGGTCTGTAGGTTCATTTCTGGGTTTTCAATTCTATTCCATTGGTCCTGAGGTCTGTTCTTATGCCAATACCAAGCTGTTTTGATTACTATGGCTTTATAGTAGAGTTCGAAATTTGGTATTGATATTTCTCCAGCAGTGTTCTTTCCGTTGAGGAGCGTTTTTGCTATTCGGGGTCTTTTATTGTTCCATATGTATTTTTGGATTGCCTCTTCTATTTCCTTGAAGAATGAGGGTGGAATTTTGATAGGTATTTCGTTGAATTTGTAGATAGCCTTGGGAAGTATTGCCATTTTCATGATGTTAATCTTTCCAATCCAGGAGCATGGGAGGTTTTGCAATTTTTTAAGTTCTGTGTTGATTTCCTTTTTCAAGATTTTAAAGTTTTCATCATAGAGGTCCTTCACTTCTTTAGTTAAGTTAATTCCTAGGTATTTTATTTTTTGTGGGGCTATTACAAATAGAGTTGCTTTCCTAATTTCAGCCACACTTTTCTCATTGTTGGCATACAGAAAAGCCATTGATTTTGGGGGGTTAATTTTATAACCTGCTACTTTGCCAAAGTTTTGAATCAGCTTGAGTAATTTGGGAGTGGAGTCTATGGGATTCTTTAAATACAAGATCATGTCATCTGCAAAGAGGGAGAGTTTGATTTCTTCTTTCCCTATTTGGATCCCCTGTATGTCTGCATCTTGTCTTATTGCTGTAGCTAGGCATTCTAATACTAGATTGAAGAGAAGTGGAGAGAGTGGGCATCCTTGTCTTGCAACTGAGTTAAGAGGAAATGGCTTTAGTTTTTCACCATTGAGTATAATGCTGGCTGTAGGTTTGTCATATACAGCCTTTATTGTATTGAGGAATGTTCCATGGATTCCTAATTTTTCCAAAACCTTCATCATAAAGGGGTGTTGGATCTTGTCGAATGCTTTTTCTGCGTCTATTGAGATAACCATGTGGTTCTTATTCTTGCTCCTGTTGATGTGATGAATATTAATTGATTTGCGTATATTGAACCAGATTTGCATCCCTGAAATGAATTCTGTTTGATCGTGGTGTATGATTTTTTGAATGAATTGTTGAAGTCCATTGGCCAAAATTTTGTTGAGAAGTTTTGCATCAATGTTCATCAAAGAAATGGGTCTATAGTTCTCTTTCTTTGATGAGTCCCTGCCTGGTTTTGGGATGAGGGTTATGATGGCTTCATAGAATGTGTTCGGTAGTGAGCTTTCTCTTTCAATTTCATTGAAGAGTTGGAGGAGAATTGGTGTGAGCTCTTCTTTGAAGGCCTTGTACAATTCCACTGTAAAACCATCTGGTCCTGGACTTTTCTTAGCTGGGAGGTCTCTTATTGCTGTTTCTATTTCAATGCTTGATATAGGCCTGTTAAGATAGTTTAACTCATCTTGGTTTAGTTTTGGCATGTCAATATTTGCTAGGAAGAGGTCCATTTCTGTCAAGTTCTCAAACTTATTAGCATAAAGTTTTGAGAAGTATTCCCTTATAATGTTCTGAATCTTGGTTGTTTCCGTGGTGATGTTTCCATTCTCATCTCTGAGTTTATTAATTTGAGTATGTTCTCTTCTTTTTCTGATAAGATTTGCTAAGGGTCTGTCAATTTTGTTAAGTTTTTCGAAGAACCAACTCTTTGTTTTGTTGATTCTTTCTATAGTTTTTTTGGATTCTAATTCATTTAATTCTGATTTAATTTTGATTATTTCTTTCCGTCTACTGGATTGGGGTTTATATTGCTGCTCTTTTTCAAGGAGGTTTAGATGTGTCAATAAATTGTTAGTTTCAGATCTCTCCAATTTGTTGATGTAGGAGCTCAGAACTATAAACTTGCCTCTGAGTACTGCCTTTGCTGTGTTCCAGAGGAGCTGGTAATTTGTGTGTTCATTTTTATTGAATAGCATGAACATTTGAGTTTCCTTTCTAATCTCTTCCAACCCACTCATGATTCAGCAGTGTGTTGTTCAGCCTCCATGTGATACCGGACTTTCTTTGGTGGTTTTGGTGTTGAGTTCTAATTTTATTCCTTTGTGGTCAGAGAGAATGCAAGGTATAACTTCAATGTTTCTGAATTTATACAAGTTTGCTTTGTGGCCTAAAATGTGGTCTATTTTAGAAAACGTTCCATGTGCTGCTGAGAAAAACGTGCATTCTGATGCTGCTGGGTGAAATGTTCGGTAGATGTCTGTTAAGTCTAGTTGATCTATGCAGCTGTTTAGATCTGCAGTTTCTCTGTTGAGTTTTTGCCGAGTTGATCTATCTAGTGGGGACAGTGGTGTGTTAAAATCCCCAACAATTAATGTGTTTGGATCTATATGGGATTTGAGGGAAAGTAGTGTTTCTTTGATAAATTTGGGTGCTCCATTGTTTGGCGAATAGATATTTAGAATTGTAATATCCTCCTAAAGGAGAGATCCTTTAATTAGTATGTAGAGACCTTCTTTATCTCTTCTCAGAATTTTAATTTGAAGTCTATTTTATCTGATATTAGAATTGCAACTCCCACCTGTTTATGGGGGCCGTTTGCTTGGTAGATTTTGTTCCAGCCTTTAACATTGAAAATGTGTTTGTTTTTTTGGGCAAGATGTGACTCCTGCAGGTAGCAGATAGAAGGGTCTTTTTTTTTTTTTTTTTTGTTGGTCGTGGGGCTTGAAATCTGGGCCTGGGCGCTGTCCTTCTGCTCTTCAGCTCAACGCGAGCGCTCTACCACTTGAGCTACAGCGCCACTTCCGGTTTTCTGGTGGTTTATTGGAGATAGGAGTCTCACGGTCTCTCCTGCCCGGGATGGCTTTGAACCATGATCCTCAGATCTCAGCCTCCTGAGTAGCTAGGATTCCAGGCTTGAGCCACCAGCGCCCGGCTGGGTCTTGTTTTTAAATCCAACTAGACAGTCTATGTCGCTTAAT